ATACTAACAAAAACCTCATAGCTACCGGACATTTGTCAATGACAGTGAAGTATGTTATTCACTAGTTCTAAGCATAAATTGGTAATCTTAATCTCTCATAGTAAATAAATGTTTAAATTAATTTTAAAATATTGACAACATAAATTCCAAAATAACATATAAAAATACATAATATACATGAGTTGGTAGTAAGTATGATAAATTCATTCATTTTATTAAAAATTATTAAATCATTGACATAACATTTTGAAATTATAAATCTCTTAGTAGATAATATTCAACATGAAGATAACAACAACATACTACATATTTTCCACAAAACTTAATAAAAAAACATATTGAATTATATTTAATATTCAATAAAGAAAAAAATCATATAAATCAAATAAATTTAATTAAAATTTTATTTAAAGATTAGTTTGAATGGATATCTATAAAAGAAATACCGAAAACGGTACACTGAGACACCGTCGAACAACATGCGATACATAACACTTTCTGCTGCAACCTTCAACTTGAACTTCAAATTAATCAAACTAAGTCAGCGCAAGTGATCTCGGCTTAGCGACTTGTTTACTTTTGTTGACTGGTACAATTTTTCTCAAACTAACTCGTTGAGCAGCTCCAACTAGTTTTTTACTACGTCACTGCTTTTTGTTATAATTTACTAATGTGTGTTCAATGATTTTATGTTATTAAGGCTATTAAATGCTCCGATATGTGATTAAATTTGTGAAACTAGTCATTTTGATCGAAATTGTAATGCAATGTTAATTGAGTCAAATTCAAGAAAATAATGTGTATCTTTTGTAAACCAAAATATCACACTTAAAACAATGTATCTATGGTATTAACATGGCATCGAGCAATGCCTTTCAAACAGTTGTTAATTATTTATTAACTGGCTAAAAGTATGCAACGAAAATTTACTTAAGATAATATTGTTAAACAATCCATTTCGCTGTTGATAGTTTAATTGATAACTTTATTTAACATACTAATATAACTCCATTCTGTAACCAAACCTTCTTAGATACTTAAAGACTTAAAGACAAATCCCCTCAAAAAGTAAATAGAATACACTTATGTCTTGGAAAAGGGAAGAACCAAACTTCCATGGGAAGAGTTGGCTTTGAGATCTTTTTGAAGGATTAAGGACGGGAACTGTCTGTCCGAACTGCATGCCCTTTATAGTGTTTCGCAAGATGAGATTTTGACATTCAAAAAAGAAGTTTCTCATTTAAGTTAGCATATTTTAACTGAGTAATTAGTTTTCTGGGCAATCAGTTGCCCTTTACCTTCACCTTTACGCCTATATGGGCTTCTCGGGACCATAGCATTGGAGGAAAGGATAGGGTCGTTGAACAAAAGCCATAATAAAATACCTATCGTCACCTGAAAATCTATGTTGAAGTTTATTATTGTTAAAAACACACAGGTACTAGGAAAATGGAAATAGAAGATATGTGAGAAGTTATAATCAAGAAAACTATTTAACATTCTAAATGAATGAAATCTTAAAGCTATTTGGTGGCTATGCCAAGTCTTAGAACTCCTGATGCTGAAGACAAGGCAGAATTTAATAATTCCTATAACAATTCCTATGTAATAATTCCTATAATTCTTATAAGGAGTCATGAAGCATCTAATTTATTTGTTGGATATAAGCTTCTTTGAACAAAAGCTCAAAACAATCTAATAAAAACTTAAACTTCTGATAGAATAAATAAAATTATCATCTGTCATTAACACATTGAAACTAAAAATTCTCTAAAAATCAATTAAATAACAAACCAACTTGACTTCTTAATTTTCAGTTATTTCAAAAAGTTAAACACCTCAAGCAGTAAGATATTGAAAAAATCTCAGATAAAAACATTGTAAACTAAACAATACAAAATGTTTTCCTGAGATTAACAGAACCTAAATTAAAAGCTACTATACAATAGTTTGTTTATTGAGAATGAACATCTTTCTGAAAAGTGTTAGTATCATGACCACAATACGGTGAGAACAGATCGGTGGCCATTGGGTATCCATATTAATTGGTTTTCTCCTTTAATCAGAATTGCTGAAGCTGCTAGGAAAAAATGAAACAGAAACAACTGAACTCTTCTTTTGCGAATGTACAGGTCTAACGATGTTGAGATAACAGGTGCAGTTTAAACAATTATTTTCAAGGAAAAATCAAGTTTCTTAGCGTACAGCATTCTATTTAGATCTGCATTTCAGTAATGGTCGTTAGGACTCAGCTCTAGACTTTATATAATTTTTTTATTTTCCTGATCGACTTGTGACATTGTACATATTTTTCTAAAAGAGCACTTTTTTTCTCATTATTTATAATAATTTTTCCGGCAATTACTCTCTAATTTAATCATTTTCGAATCTTTTTTCCAGTTCGACTTCAAGAAATCCTCTGTAAATAAATAAAATAAGCTGCAATTTTTTTATATGATTTTCTTACAGTGTCTTTAGTGCTGTTACCTGGCGCTTACCATCATTTGAAATTTATCTTTTTCAGTATATCGGATGACAAAGAAATAATAATTATTCTGCTAATTAACAGCATTGTTTTATTAAGTAATATTTGACTCACAACCATTATACGACTTACATTTTAGATCTAAACAGTTTTTTTAAATTATATATGTATGTCTAAACTGAATATTCAATGAAAATTAGTTAAAGAACATTTCATTATTACACTATAAGTATCAGTAATTTTACAAAAAATGAAATATTACATTCTAAGTAAAGAAGAAAGAATTCTAAAGGCGGTCCCTGACATATTCTCAAAAGTGCACTATTTGCTGCTGGTTATAGGCTACCGACATGATTAAGTTATATTTTTTAAAAATTATGGAAAACAGAATATTACAGTCAATAGCAATGCAATCTAAAAGCAAGTGCTGATGACTTCATTGTCTCCAAATATAAAGCTACGGTATTTGTAATTATTGGTCTATACCAATGGTTTCCAACCAGTAATCCGCGGACTACTTTTTTATAGCTGATATATGTACCTATGCACTTATACAATTTATAATACATTATACCACAAATAAAAAGACATATTAAAGTAATCATTCAGTTTATTATTCTTCAACTTTGTGGTCCCTACTAAAAACAAAAACATCACAGTGGTCTTTGGTCGAAAAAAAAGTTTCGGAACCACTGGTCTATACAGAATTAACAATTTATCAAGCTAAACCATAACGTATAAACTTCAGCTTCAACTGAGCTTCACATTTGGCAGTACCCAAGTTCGATTCCTGGTACTTGCAGTCACAAAAATAATTATTTACGAATAATTAAATACAAGAATTATTTCCAAGAGCACTGATGATGGATATTTGGCAATACTCGAAACAGCTATATGGTCAGCCAAAAATTCAATTAATTAAAATAAATAAAAAATAAAATATTTGTTGTTGTAGTTCATTACTGTTCGAAAAAACCTCTTTATAACGTATAAACTAAGTCCAGTAATTTCTTTTATAGGAATGGTTGGTTCAATGAACCACACTTTTGAGAAAAAAATTATAGTCTTGATTATCAGGGTAAGAAAATTAAGTTTTTTTGTTATGTCCTATATTAAATGCTTTACAAGAAACTGATTTCTAATTATAAAAATTTGAAATTTTCACAGCATATACCTTAATTCTTTAATTAGAAGAAAACTATGTATAACAAATACAAATACTTTAACAAATAGTTTTCAGAAAGTTTTTTCATCATTTATTAATTTCATTTCTGTAATTCTGTAGACTTATAAAGAAGAAGACTAACATTAGGTATAACAAAAACAGCAGACTAGTGCATTCACTTGGCTTTCTCAAAACGAGATCTGCAAACTAGACGATATGATAACATATATACATATATATAGATAGCCCGATTCCTTCAAAAACATGTAGGTATATTTATATCATCTCCATTCTTCTTTTTACTTTTCTAATTGTAATATCTCATTAAATAGATTCTAGAATTCATAATATATGCTTCTGGAGTAAATTCAGTTATTTTTCGGGTCTCGGGGTTCCACTTAAACGTTACGTGACATATTTAAATATATTATTTTCTTAAGGTGTGCCCCAGCCAGTGCAATTTTTTTTTATAACTTTGAACGTCGATTTTTTTTTTAATTTGTTATTCAAATTTTAGGTTGATTATAGTCCATCATATTTTCGACATATGATATTTTGTAGTCATATTATAATCCAGTTTCGAATGTAATATGCAAACAACGGATCATAAAAGATCTTCTTGGTCATGATGCAGTTGCACTTCTGTATCTTCCAAAACAAAATCGATCAAACTTTATAGTAACTCTATAATCAGCTATACAGTTTTTCATTAAGGGAACTATAATAATCTAGCTTTATAGACAAGGCTTGAAACCGATTAAGAAGGTAATACCAATGCATTAAACAAATATTTCTTTCTGCTATAAATGTATAAAAATTTTCATTTATTAAATAAATTAATTAAATTCAAGTAAACCGAAAGACTTAAATTTATATCATTTACTTGTACATAAACGGATTATCAGATATATATATATAAATACATATATATATGTAACATACTTAAACAATTTTGCTATTATTAGGATCTAGGTGAACTTATGATTTAGATTTGGGTTTCACTTGGCATAGGAATTAAAGAGAAAAGGACTCATTAAGCTTAGCATAAATATGCAAATAAATAATAAAAATATCTAATTAAATAAATAACATGCAATTAAATAAATAAACAAATAAATAATTAAATAAAAGCAAGCAACATTCAAAGTCTTCTAATGGATTTAAGTTTAACATGCAAAAAATAAATTAATTTAATTTACTTAGTATATAATATTTAAATATTAATTTTTCTAAATTGTCGTACTGATTAATTAAAATAATTTAACTTAAAATTATATTCAATGTTAGCATTTCGTTAACTACAAGGCTTAAACTGTAATTATATAAAATCATTAAATGAGTAAGCATAAGTTAAGTGTCCATAACCACTGGATGCCATGCATTATCCTCCCCAATACTATGACTACCACCACCAGCACCATAACCAATTCTACGTTCGCGGACTTGTTGATGGCCAAGTCCGAACGGTGTAGACTTTGGTATTTTATGTGGATAAAGCATTTCTCTGGCAACAGTGTTCAAAGTCGTTTTAGCGATTGGATTTGTTTTTGTTGTTGTTGTTTTAGTTATAGAGCCTGAAGTACCAGGAGCGCCAACAAATTGTTTGTGATTTTCAAAGAAGTCAATAATGGGATGATAATTGTAGTTGATACGCTTCGGACCACTGCCACCATTGATATCATCATGACCGTTATAATCGTAAATGGCATTCACATGGTAGATGGATGGATGTGCTGATGTCGTTGCTGTGGGTTGTTTATAGTAGTAAGTGGATTGTGTTGTCGGCGTAAACGCGGGCGATACATCTGCCGCGGATGGATAAAATCGTGACTTCGTTTTGCTGCTGCTGCTGCCAGAGTTTTGGTACGTATTGCCGCCACTGGGCGCATTGTTGGACGTGCTCGTTCCCTCCGTTTGGTGGGTAGTGGTGGCAATGCTATTGCTGCGTTTGTCTGGTATGGTTCCTGTAGCTGTTGGTATGGTACTAATGGTGTTGGTGGCGTCTGCGGTAATGATGGTGGTGCTGGTAGCTGTATGGGGCACAGAATAAAATTGATTCCGTTTTTGAGGCAAACGATTTCTATCATTGGCAATGATTGGTGTGCCAAAAATGTTTACCTCTTTATCCGCATGTTTTTCACTAGGTGATATCTCCAGATCGGCTAACGCATCACTGTCAACACGGCTGCTATATACTTTATAGGGACGTCGGCGTGCCAAATGACTCAGTAAGTTCTTGGATGTTGTGGGTAATGTGGGCGCAGTGGAAGTATAATATGAAGATGATTTACCACGTTGCGCTTTGTAAGCGTAGTTCGTGTCATACTCATCACTTCCGGGAGGACTTAAATAGGAACCTATAGTAGAACCAGGTGGAGGAAAAACTTTTGTGCGTACTTTTTTACTGCCCAAAAGCAACTCATTATCGTCGAAACTATCGGATGGTTTATGCTGACTGAAACCATTACTGTACTGGTAACTCAAGTCGTCTTCATCATCTTCTTCGTTATAATCTAAGTCATCGTTAATTGTAGAATACGGTTCGTTATGGTAGGATGTTTGATATTCTTTGGCTTTTGACTGTTCTAAAGGTGGAAATTGCTGACGATAACCATCGATTTGGCAAGAGCAACAAGTGGGTACTTTGAATATATCAACATGCAGGCCACGTGTTTTGTCCCAACTTAGCAAACGATGGTAATTATAGACTTGCGCACAGTGGGAACGATAATTGTGTGCCAAGTAAGAGCAACTATCTTGTGGACTTCTATAATATATAAGAAGAAATTAGTTTTAATTTTATATCAAAGTAGATAATTGATTTTTTTTAACTTACGTGCACTTTTCTAAGCGCAGTGTTTGTGTATGCTGCCCTGTATTTACTATGTACTTCCACTCGCCAGAAGCTGAACGCGCTTTTTGTGGTCGTGCATAGCGCACAATGCTTTGGCACATCCCACCGCCACTGTTGCTATCTTCACGCCTTCATGCAAATAAAAAGATAGTTCGAAAAGTTTAATTTCAGTTTCACTTAAGTGAAATCGTATTGTATAAAACGCATACCTAGCATACCTTTTCTTTGTGTAAGCAAAATCATCGAACTCATCTCCCAAGTCCGCATTGCTGTATTTGTCATGATACTCCGCCAATAGTGCGCTCATGGCATTTTTGTGACGCCGGATGCTGCCCATGATTTGTTCGCTAAGCAATTAAAATAGATAAAACCAGAAAGAAAAACAAATCGCACACGGCATGCATTAAAATTGTGTTAAAACAGTGTTAAATAGTAAGAATAATAAAAACAAAACACCTTGTAAAAATGTAACACATAACCACCATGTAACCATAGACCATACAGGGTGCTCAAGCCAACCAACCAATTTGTACAAGAAAGAACCAAGCATTGCAACCGAAAGCAAGAACTCAACAAAAAATTCAACAGAAAGTATGAAAAATATTTCTTTTATTTTCCTTAAATTATTACGACTACAAACTAAAAAATTAAATTAATTTAAACTAGAAATTAAATAAATTAAACAGTGCGCAAGGCATAAAATTTTAATTAAAGTCTATAGGGAAAAAAAATCGCTTACAGCGGATAATCTTCGGTGTGTAGGCACATGGAAGCGGTAAAGCGTTCGCATTTTTTTTGCACAGCCGATGTGACTGCGTGGTGTGGTGGAGAGTTCGGACGCGTGCGCACCTGCACACGTTTGCGTTTGGCACCTTTTGCGTATGTTGGACGTAATTTGCTGCTACTAACACGATAACGTGGACCAGCGATGAGCTCCTCAGGATTCGGCAGTGGCTCTGCGTTTTCTTTGTTATCTTCCGACGTGCCAGTCAGTTTCACTTCTGTGCCATTCAAACTGGCAAAGGCGAGATCTTCGATTTCTTGATATGATAATGCAGATGCAGATTGCAATGATTCGCTTGTGGGCTTGGCAGTAGTAGTTGAGCTTGTGGGATGCACTGAGGTAGCAGTCACCACAGCCACTCCAGCGCTTTTATTAATGTTATTAACTGCTGAAGGCGATGCAGCCAGTGCAGTGGGAGCTGACGTTGTATGTGTGGTATGTCCAGCACGTTTTGCATAGAAATCTGCTTGGTTTGTTGCAAATGCAGTTGTGTTCAGTTTGATTGTACGCCCTGCTGCACCGCTTAACAAATCGTCTTCGTTCACCGACAATGGTACTGAACGTATTAGCTTATGCACAAAATCTGTGCCTTGTAGTGAACGTTTGTCACGTTTTGCATACCGTTTGGCTTTTATCGTTATTGTGTCTGCGTTATTTGAGAAACTATCTGTTGTTTCTTGTAACTCTTTATTTATTTCGATGGGATCCAAAACATCATCATGAAAGTCTTTAAGGAAATCTTCCAATTCATCGTCATCATTATTGTCATTTTTTGTTACTTGTATTGTGCCCACGTCTTTCGTGGCGTCATCGTCTTCAACTTCCAGCGATGTCAAATCCAATTTACGTCTGTTTATTTCTTGCTGTTGTGGGACTGCTGGACTTTCATCTTCGTTAATGTTAATATATTTTCTTGCTGAATTGCGCACCAAGTTGGCTATGTCGTAAACAATTGGTATTAGCAATTTCTTATCATCGCCAAACATCATGCGTACCTGTTGGATTGATTGAATTGAAATTGGTTTTTATTTATGTTTTTATTATGTTTAGAAAATTTATTATAAAAGAAATTGCATTTTTAAAAATAATTGATTAGTTTTATTAATAAAAAACGTTAGAACTCAACTATGAAATATATAAAGTAAAGATGTTAAATCTATTGAACTTGCATCCATATTGTCAAATTTGTGCTTTGGTAAAAAATGTCTGAAGCTAACAATCCCAATATGATTTAAAACTTTCTAATGATCTAAAAGATGAAATTCTTAATTCATACTCGTATCGTTATTAATTTATATATAGATATACTGTAGAGCAGTTCTTTCTACATTGTAATGTCTCTAGCCGTTTTTCTTCTTGGAAAAAAGAAAACAATTTAATTGATTTGAGCATTCTTGTATGTTAAATAATTTACTATTTTAATGATGAGCGTCTAATGAATGGGGTCTCTAACCGAAACATGGCTATTAAAAATGTAAAAATATAAATTATTCTTACCCAAAAATTAATTCTCTCTTTGAAGAAGTATAAAGAAATAAGTTACATTATTATGATCCTGATTTTTTTTAAACAGGTCAATGATATGTGTGATTTACTTGAATAGCTTGCTTCTAATAGATAATCTTCATTATATATTATTAATATATTAATTATTAAATCATAGATAATCAGTATAGATGCTTATCGTCTGAATATAATACACTTAACATAGTAAATGAGACCGAGTACTCGGTCTTTCACTATAAGGAAAGACCAAATACAATCAAAAACAAAGCAAATATGAACATATCTGCATGCATTGAAACTCTAATTAGAATTATCTGAATAGTGGACACTCCGTCAGACTAGAAAACCAATAGTTTGAAATTGAACATCGGGTGGAATATGAAAACAAAAGTGGGAAAAATTTTCTTTATTACCAGCGTAAGATTCTTAAACCCAAGCAGAAGATTTTGACAATAAGTTGACAATATAGCAATCGACTGAACATATTTGTTGCAATAAATCCCATTTTCTTATAAAAAAATCCATTCCATATCCATTGTTACGATAATTTTAGATATAAGCACAGTATAATAAAAATACCATGTATAGGTATGCATGAACTGAGAAGATACATTGAAGGTCATTTGATACCTTTGAATTAGCAAAAAGAAACAATAGCGTTGGAATATAAGACAACACTATGGATATCATTGGATTTAATAGAAACCGATTTGCCACTTCCTAATCTGTCCTTAATATTTCACACCTATTTCATTATATTAAGAATATTTTGAGAAACTTAACATAGTCTCATTTATAGTATTATGACGGCTATATAAAAAGTTATGTGAATGAAAATTAGTGTAAAATACTATATTTTGAATCTAATTAGATATAAGATAAATCTATGAACTATTGGAGACACAATATAAACACTGAAAATTACTAGAAGCTAGAGAAGTTTAGGAATAATCTCATAGATAAAGAAGATAATTTATCTGCAGTCCTGGACAAAAGTATAATGACCATAAAGATGGTTTTCGCTAACTGCTCATCTTGCAAAGTGCTTGATTATTACTTCAGTAAATTCGTGAACTGATCTTTTGTTCCTTCCCTATATAATCTAGATAATAGAGTCCACAAAATCTTCGTGATTAATCCATAATTTGTTTATTAAAAATAATGAATCTTCAAAGAATTCCGCCGGTACCAATAGATGCTATATATATATAAATATAGTTTCCTCTTTTGGAGATACAGAGTGCTAACTCCACTGCTGTCATAGCACAGGGTTGGACACTCCACAGCGAATGTCATTAATTAAATGGAGTATCCAACAAGATACTCCCGTTAATGGAGTCAACCTTTAGTAGTCAAGAAGCTGCAGACCCTGACCCTCATAGTTCCAGATCTACTTCTCCTGCCGGTTGCCGCAAGTGAAGCTCTCTGTCTAGAATTTATACTCCATACAGTATCGACTCGTAACTATTGAATTTTAGTCGCTTATTATGACAGTCATATCTCGGGAAAATTTTAATCACAACTTATAGTTATTTAAAGTTCACGAAAGATAACTTAAAAAATTCTTTTCCATATTTCCTTCCCCTTTAAAAGGAACGATGCTTCAAAGATTTCGTAATAAGAGATTTTGCATACAGAGTGGTTTCAAAAATTATTTAAAAATACGATTCCATTAAACAAAAAGGAAAAGGAAACTAGGAAAAGATGCCTTAGTTAAAAACGTTTGTCTTTTTATTTGTAGCAGGTTTGCTGAAGACACGAATTAATATCTCATCACATAAATAATCAGGAAATTTTACTAATTCCAACTTTTCAACTTTAACCCATTACTGCCAGATACCCAGATGTCTAAAAAAAAAGCCGGTTGCAGATTTGAACTTAAACACTTCACATTTATTTAAGACTAGCAATTTTTATGAAAAATTGAAATTCAGTGATGCACTTGCAATTTATATTACATATATCACTGGGAATATGCATCGGTTCCCAAATTATGGACATCGATAAAAGCTGATATCTACCCACCTTTCTAAATATAATATTCTTCAAATTAATTTAAAGGATATACATTTTCCACAGTTTTTAATCTATTTTAGTCTTTTTACTATAATTCAAAATCAAACATATTTCATGGAATTGAGTTGATCTAATGTTTTAAAGTATCTACATTCATTACTCATTTAATACAAAAGCATTGACTTTATGCACATTTTCTTCATTTCTACTTACCTGCTCCAGTTTTAATTCTTGACCTTGTTTTGCATTAATTTGTGCTGATATGAGTGCAGATAAAGCCAGTCGCTGTGGTGAGGACAGGACACGTAATATGGGCATTACTTCTACAAACTTTTGTCTTAAACTAGCGTTCGTTAATGCTTTTGATAAAGCCATTTTCAATATTTTTTCACGCCAATCAAACAGATTCACTTGATTATCCTCATCATCGAAATCATCAAAGGTAATATAATTACTTTGCACCTTTTTATCACTCGTTGTTGTCATCTCGTTGCTAGCATTTTCATTATTATAATTCCAGTCGATTTCTTTTAAGTCGGAAAAATCAAAATCCATAACATCATCTTCAGATGCTGTCACCAAGTAAAGAACGCAATACAAAACTGCCCAAAATAGGCAACGTATGGACTGACCAGCTTTCATCTTCGCTGCGAAATCTGCAAAAAGAAAGCAAATCATTAGACGGCCCGCTTAAACAAGATTTACAGATATTTATTCTAAGTGTAAAACCAGCGCCAAAACAGACGCACAGTCGCAAAAATAAAAAAAAAAAACTCGAAAAACATGTCATTTGTGAAATGCTTTGAATAAAAAAGTGCCTGAAGAAAGCAACTTATCGCTTTTTAATTGTCATTAAGTACATTTTACTTTCTTACATTCTGTGCACTTCATTATTTGTCAAGATTAAAACAAAAGTAAAAGTCATTCGAATAATAACATTTTAATGTGCCCGTTTAAGTCAACTTCAAACTCAACTTAAAGACTCCAAATACCCAACAAACCGTGAAAATGAAGTAAAGTTACTCAAAACGAATACTTCGAAGAAAAAATAGAAGAAAATCGTTATAGGAAACAATTTTATAATGACTGATCTCCGCAAGACCTTGTGTCTTGTGCACTTCAGGAGACAAGGTAAACAAACTTTTACCGCACGAAGATATGGAGAAAATAAAATTAACTAAGTTTATTAGACATGTTTATGCAATAAAAATCGCCCAGTTTGCTACTGTGAAGTCATGAGCTCCCAGTATCTTCAACAAAAAATTTATAAACTATTTTTATTACGTTAGTTATTATTTATTATGGCATACGTTTTACATGGCGACTAACGACGTCATAAAACTGAAACAATAACTTCATTGAAGGATCGACTAGGATAGTCGTATTCCAAAAGAAAAAAACTATTTAATAGGAAATATTTAAAGAAATTGTTTGGTTACAACATAAATATTTTTATTACATCACATAAAGGAGATAATAAAAATGTTCGAGTTTTATTAAAAATTTCATTACCAAGGAATATATATATGCCTATAGATATTAAATGATTGAAATATCACAATAGCATTTAAATACTTATGAAAGTGATCGTATCTGGCATTGTTATTATGAACAGCCTAGATATACATATATACAGGGTTAAGCCATTCAAGAGTTACCAACTACACACAGGTATATCTGTCAAACTGATATTGCCAATGACAGCTGTTTATATTGTTTATATATTGTTTATAAAACAAAAGTTATTCGAAATAGAATTCAAATGTAATAGTATGATTGCTTTATATTTGGCTGGAAAATCACAACTAGTTATTATTCATGAGCTCAAACACCTCAAAGTAAATAAAATATTTACGTATCGTACGATAAATCGTTATAATAGAAAAGACAGAGATGCTAAACACTATATGGTAATATATGGTGGACAAACGAAAAACAACGATATCATCTGAAATGGTTCGGAAAGTGAGCGCTCGACGTAAACATATTCCACGTCGTAATGGTAATCAAATATCCAAAGAACTACAGAAAATATCGCAGCGAAGTATACGAAGCATATTTTAAAATAAGCTCAAGGTAAAGCCTTACAAATTCCAAAAAAACACAAACTTGTAGATCCAACCAACAAAAAGTTAGATTCGAAAGAGCAAAGGAATTGTTACGCTTACACTGAACACACTGCACAGAATTTGAGGCTACGAATGGTCGCCCGAAGTAATTTTCCATCTCAAGTAATGGTATGGGCAGCTGTGACCTCCGATGAATGCTCTACAATAATCTTTATCGAGCTTGGTGTCAAAGTTAATGTCACTTATTATCGCAAAATGTTTTTGAAGTTGCTTTTTAGCTGTGGGAATGCAGACATTTCGTTGGCATGGTCGTAGGATCATAGACGTTCTAACAAGACTCGGCAAGAATGATTAAAAAATCATGGTCCACACTTCATTTTGTCCTTACAATGGCTTTCGAATTTGCCAGATGCAAATTCGATAGAATATTCTATCTGGGCCATTTTGGAGTGTAAGATGAAAACTAAAAATATGAATGAGACAGTATAGATACGTTGTAGAAAACCATTTATCAGGAATAGGTCAAAATACCAGAATATCACATTCGTGAAGCATGTGATTCATTTTTTAACCGTTTGAAGACCAAAGTTAATGCAAAAGTTGGTCAAATCGAACTAGAGTGAATGGATTCTGGAATTTTGATTATTTCCACAAATTTTTGTAATTTGAAACAATAAAAAATAGTTTCATACAGAAAAGATATGGTTGCTTGAATAGATAACATTTCAATCGTTTAACCCTGTATGTAAATAAATGATGTATGTATAAATGAAATAATTTTAGAAAAGAGGTTTTTTGTGCCAAGAAATCATAAAACTAAAAAAATAGCTTTCTTTAGGTAAGAAATTTGTAAGCAACAGATTTTTTGAGATAAAAACGAATAAAAAAATTTATAAAAATTAGAAGAATCTTTCAAAACAATATATGTATATATTATATAATTTATAAAAGGTAAATAAAAAGTAACAATTAATAATAAAAAACTAAATAAAAATTAAATAATATAATAAAAAATAATACTTTCGAAAATACAATGAATATGTTTAATAATTAATATATGGGTTTTCAGACCGTAGGGAGTTAAGGAGTGCGTAAGAGAAACGAAGCTCTTATGTAATCCAACCCTTGACTTACTTCGGTCGGTATTAATCGGATAGTCTACAGAAAATCATACGACCTAGCCTGTATATCAGTTACAGATGTATAAAAATACTACGATAAGATATATAATAAAGACTCCCTGGTGTGTTAATAAAATTGAGATTTACAGAGGTTTAAGAGAAGAAGTCGTATATAGTAACCAATCTTTGAATATACTAAAGGCTCACAGAAACTTCTTTAAAGAAGAAATATTTGCCTACTTACGAAACCTCATTATATGATACTAAAACAATAGTAAAACATAATATTACTGAAATGTCAACGACATCGGTGCTACTCCAGAAGCAATCTCACAAATAACGAATTATA